ACGAATATCATTTTTTCTATAACAGAGATAACAAAAATAAGAATGGAAGCAACATTAGGGGGAGGAACAAAATCACTAACAACAAATCTCTAGGGGATAGCAAGACACTCAGTATTCAAAACCCAGTTTCACCTGGCCACTTTCTACTCCCCAAAGCCCCTGTCGTAAGTCCTCCCAGTTTAACAGATTCCTGGTCTGCAAGAAGTTTGAGACATTACCTTCCCAAAGGAGTGTCTGAATCTTATTTGTTTAAAGATCTGTTTTGCAGCTGCCCTTGTACCATCTCCCCTAAAGTAAAAATATCCTACATACCAACCACGTCCCCCAAACCACCTCCTTTATCTGATGCCCTGAGGCATGAAGTGTCATAAGCATATGATTAAGGCACAGCCTGGCAAGGCCAAAGAAAACGGGTATGCCGCAAAATGCAAACCCACTGACTCTGCTATTGAGATCTATCATTTTACAAACAGTTGCAATATTCTCCAGTTTAGTACTGACCAAGTACGTGCAATGGCTCTGCAATGTCATCACCCAGCCCCAGTCTGGACCCTTTATTTGAAAACTCCTTTGAGGGATTCAGTGATTCTGTATCATCTTAAACAGCAAACAAATCCAGAGTTTAACATTCCTTGAATTCAAATGCTAGTACACACCTTATTTAAATCAGCTCACTTTTGTTTGTTCCAGAAATAAGCACCCCCGATACATGTAATACAGTATTAAAAAAAAAAAAAAAAAAAAAGCATTGTGTTAAAAGCAATTTAAATTCAACTTATTAAAAATTATTAACAAGTAGTGGCCAGTAAAACAAATACTTGGCACAAATCTATTGCCCATTAGGAGATAAACTTGGTAATCTTTATTTACATTCTTCCACTGTTTTGTCAGAGAAACAGTGGCCATGGGCAAGTCACTCAGGCTCAGTGCCTCAACTAAATTTACATACCTAACCCACATTGGAAACAATGTGTCCTCATCACATTTTATTTATCAATAAGGTGAATAGTGTTTGTTACAATTTTGTTACAATTTTGTGAGATGTTACCTGAATCATGCTCTTAAATACTTTAAAAACAAAGTACTAATGTTTTACTGCTGCAGTTAATAACATAAATGTGACTTAGGAGCTAATTCAACTCTAGTTTAAAATATCAGTAAAGCAGTGATTTAAAAGTTTGATTCTTCAGACATATCCACGCAGTTCCTGAAACATACTATTTTCATAATTACTTAAATGCAAAAGCTGTCAATATTAGGTCTCTAAAAAAGGAGGGTGTTTTCTGCCAAAAGAGATGCATTTAAGAGAAAGACCTAAATTTGTTTTAATATACCCTCAATGCACATGCACCACCTGTTCGGTGAATATAATTTCCTGAGAAGAAACAAGTCAATTATACATACGATTTGAGCTCTTCAAAGCTGCCTGGGAGAGTAAAACCACTCATTCCAGTGACAGCTGTGGGCCACAATCCCTTATGGCAGGCTTTGAAAAATTTCAGCTTTACAGATCAATTGGCAGTAAAATTCTCATTCTCTGTACAGTCTCCTGGATATTCTTAAATTTATAATGTGCCTGTAATATAGTATATCTGAGACAGATGATGCCAAAGCACTACAGAACTCAGGAGGGAAAAGCACTTTATTAAGGAGGCAACTATCCTCCCTACCAACTTATGAATATATGTTTTCCAGTTTAATTCTTTAGTGTTCACTAAAGACACTACCAAAACCTCGCTAAGTCCAGCAGCAGCTTTGCTGCACACATCACACTTGCGTGCCCTTTCACTGTCAATCACTCAGATTTATGATACGCTGTATATAATGACTTGAATTGCAGTTAAAAATGGAATTAACGAAATGAAGAAGACATATCAGCAGAAGTCTGGGAGAAGGCATGCCACAGAGCACATCTCAGTTGAGCAGCAAGTAGCTGGTGCTGCCCTACCGATGGCCCTCAATTTGAGGTTAAGAGGCACAACCTTGATAGCACTGGGAGTTGTACAAGGCAGCAGAGCTAGGCTCACCATGCTGGTGAGAACGATTTCCAGTTAGTTTTGTTTTTCGGGCAAACACCCCATGCAGGTGGGAGGATTCCATGCCATTCTGAGTGACAGGGAGACGGTTCTTGCAGCGGTCACCAGGACAAGAGCAGTCTCTAACAGACACACTATTAAACTGTGATCCATGCTACAACTACTGCATTGAACTGATTTTCATACAATTTGTTGCTAAGAGTAGGGTGTTCCACTAATTCTCATATAATTCACCAGCCAGGAGGTCCAAGAAATAATGGATTCGGTCTACATCCTAAGTCTCCAACTATCTACACCCTGTTGGAAAACTACCTGAAGCTCTGCTACGAATCACCAAACTAAAAAAAAAAGTAAAATTAAATTTAAAAAAAATTTAAAAGCAAACAAACAAAAGAAAAAAATATTTGAAAGATTCAACACTCTTCCTGCCACAGACACACAGTATCATTTGCATTCTCACAGAAGCCCTTTCAGTTACTTCAGAAGCAGCCCAGACTAAGGAAAAGGTGACACACTCTCTGCTACTTAATACACTACACTACACCAACTTGCTAAGAAAGGGAACATGGACAGAATTAAGAATTGGCTATGAAGGAGAAAAGACCTTAGGATTGATTTCCTAGTAAGTACAGGTATATATTCACCTTAGTGAAGTATCTTGATAGGCCTTTTTTTACTTTTTAACTCTGTCCTGTTAAAAAAAAAAACGATTACTTCTTACAGATGCTGTAAAGTAGAACTGACTGGTTTTATAAGGTGGATCAAGAACTGACTTTTCACTTCCTATTCCTAGATTATGTTTAATACCTTGAGTAACTTATTCTCCAGACCATGTAAAATATTGGATGGTATACCAGGAGTCCACCACACCCGTACTCGGAACTGCAATCTCCCCAGCAAAACCTACAGAAATACAATTCTCCGACATTACTGGGTACTGAAACTGCCTGCTGCTCCCCCTTGTAGTATCTCATGTCTCCTGAATTTGAGTTCTCCAATTAAAAGCACACAAAACAACTATTTCCTGCAGTACCCTCTCCCAATCACTTCTCCCTTTCTTTCAAGAAGCCAAGCAATTTAGGGGAGGGAACTGTTGTATTCAAATACAGAGGATCCAAATCCAGGGCCATCAGAATGACTACTAAATATTTAGAGACACTTGAACTGGGAGGTAGAGGAGGAACAGTGATGGTAACATTAATCTGACGGCTTCCTGCCTGTGTTTCAAGACACTGTCACAATGATTTGCTACTAAAACTTTGCCTCATTCAAAACACAAAATATGTCTGCTCTGAGGAATCTGAAAAGAGGGTTATGCTCTACAGATCCCCTCGTCCTGCTTATTAAGTAGGCAACCCGCTACAGTAAATGAGTTAAGCTAGTTTACACATCTGAAAGATCCCCTGGAGAAATAGCTTCTATTCATTTCTGCTACATAGTTCTTGTGATGCTGGTTACTGTCGTCTTCTGTTATGGTATCCCTGTTGAAGAACCCAAGACCTAATCTGTAGAAGTACTGCCACCCAAGCCAAGCCGAAACAGTCATCCAAAGTGGTGAACCTCAGAGTGCCAAGTACTCTCTAAAATAAACAAACAAAAAAAAATCTAGAAGCTAAAAGTCTCAACTTCAGCACTGAAAATTAGGGGAACTTAAATCTCTCTGCCTTAGCTCCCCACCTGTACAAGGAGAGTAACACCAGCTCCTTGTTCTGCTGAAGCCATTGGAAAAGACCTTAATGTTTATGAAATACTTCAACAGAAGGATGAGGTAATTAGTAATTCTGTCTTGAGACAAGGCTTTGATTAGCTCCCATGTGTAGGCAACAAGACTGCATCGTAAAATGAAAAACTGGCAGGATCAAGCTATGTTTTGAAGGACACCATGGAGCAGGAGTGCAAGACAGTCATGGCCACAACGCCATTGCTTTTGGTTAAGTAACAGGCACATGGTGAAGATTTCCTCCCCTACCCTTCGTGTCAGTCTGCTTTAACTGGCAGCTGTCACCACTCCCACTTCACAGGAGAATGAAGAGGTCCTCAGAAGAGGGAGTGAAACCGTGAGTCACCCCTGGGGAGATGATCCAAGAAGGGCTTCATAAAAGGTGCACCTCTGGAGTCACCTCGCCTTCCCCAGTGCCAAACACCCCTCAAGGAAGACTACAGGTGGGTGGGTCGGCCAACCACCCGATTGTGAACAGTTGCATTACAGGGATTAGGAGGAGCGTGTCGCTAATTGTTATTTTGATTACCGCAGGCAGCCCCAGCACAGTGCGGGTTGCCTAGCAACATTTCTCAGTCCTTGGGAGAGCCAGCATCCATTTCGGAGGTAGCCTCAAGGAGCAACGACACACCGACATCAGTGAGCAGGGGGTGTGATCCACAGCACCTTCCTCCTGCACCACGGGGGAAGCCCGACACTTGAGGTGCCAGTTCACAGCTTCATTTACATTTCTTGTACTTCCCATAAGCCACACGGTCAACTTTAACAGCCTTAACAAAAATTGTATCAGAAACACAAGGCAGTCTTACTGGGTACACATGGTAATTAACATTTAGTTCAGATGCATTAGAGAAAAAGAATCAATCCTGCCAATTAGCAACCAGAAGATTAAGTACGACTTCTACCAGTAAACAGCCTAATCAGCTTGGAAAATAGTTATGTAAAAAAGACATAACAAAATAACATTGTGCACATTGGGGAAATAGTTCTGCAGGCCTGGACTCAGGCTACGTGTAACACAGCAACTAAACACTAATGAGGACACCTCACAGAATAAAAGATACAAAACACTTGAAGAAGCAGAACACTCGCGTGCACAAACAGCCACACAACACCTTAACTGAGACCACAGACATTACAGCTGTACTCCCAAAAAGCACAAGAAAGATCAAACAATGAGAGTTACTTATGGACATTATAAAGGAGCACTTAAAGGATTTTAAGGAAAAATGCATCATGCATACCATCCTCTTCTGTGGTGCTCGTTGTGCTTGGAGATTCTGTAAGGTAGAGACTTTTCTCCCAGGTTTTCTAGGTTCCTCACAATGGCTCCTCTCTCCATAAGAGCCTCAACAGTGCGCTTCAGCACAGCTGCAGTCTCGGGCTTTAAAAGAAAAAAGAAAAAAAAAAAGAGAGAGAAAGAGGGAAATGTACAAAATCTGGTTATTCTTTAGAAGCAATTAGAAGGGACACCTGTACTTGCATGGCTCAGCACTTGAAGAGACCATTCTGTAACCTGAGAGGGCAAAGTGGAAGCAGATCTCCTCCTAAGGAAGAAAGCTTTTAAGAACAAACAGCCAATTCCTCTGTGAATTATGGCAACAGCAATGTTTCCACCAGTTTCGAAGTCAGGCCCCAACAACAACAGGAAACAGGAAATAGTTAATGGCTTTAACTCACCTGGTATCACTTTGGCTGACCCTTGTACAGGTGTAAGTAAATATATGTGGCAAAGAGCAATTATGAATTGGCAACAGTTTTAAGGTCCCTGGACCATCCATGCTAATTAACATTGTTCAACGCAACATTTAAAGTGAACAGTGTGGGGGGAACACTAATCTGCTACAGAGACAACATTTAGCACCACATTCATTCTATATTGTCATTTCAACTGCACATGCACAATATTTAGACCCTTGGCTAAATCACTGCACATCTCATTACTTTTGCATAACACACATCCAAACCTTTTGAAGAGTTAAGGAACTGACGTGCAGTAATTAGTCTAACATGCAGAGATTTCACTCCTTAGAAAAACAAGTTTGAGGGACAGGCAGCCAAAAAACAGTAGGTAAAACAGATGCAACATATTCTTGCTCACTGCAGATCAGAGCACTTTAGAGTGCTGAATCATTTCGGCAATGACACTCAACAATATCTGTGAAAATGTTAATAAAGTACAAATTAGAATGTTTTGGAAACAACTACCAACTTATACACTCTCAGCAACAAGAAATATTTTAAGAAACAGATCTCCTACAGAGAAAGGAAACTAAACCGATGTCCAACTGAACACAAACCAAACTGTACAGCTTTCTTCTGCGTTTCTTGCAACATTTCACATCAAGATATATTCCCAAGTCTACTTGTCCAGTGAGATGGCAACAGCTGTAAACGGAAAAGTAAAGAAAGAACTGATTTTCAGCTTTAACCAGATTTTATTTTGTTAAATCAGACCACCATAATAATTTCACTGTCCCTTCTCAATCAGAAGAAAGCCGGTGTAAGCCTTCAATCACCTCATAAGATGACTGAAAGTTAGTTTCCTCAGTTTAAAGTAGAGATGTACACAATTCCCTTAATGGAAATTTGTGGAAAAAGGTGATACCAGAATCTCACAACATGCAGTGCAGACCATGCTCCTGCGTGTGAAATTTCTCCTTTGTTTTCCTGAGGATACAAGGTGATTTGAAAGAGCCTCCAAATGCAGAGAAGAGATGTTCAACATACGATGTTTTGCAATGTTTGACTGCTCTTTGAAAGACCTGAAGTACGGACAGTCTGAAATGTTTTCTTGTTCCCATGGGCTAACGGTCCTGTGGCAGTCAAAGAGTCAATCACGGGATCACACCTACTGCCCCTTGCTATCAATCAGAAATTTTATCCCCCTCTCTTCAGTTGCATAAACTGCCTGGGAAATTTATTATCAACAGAAAGAGCCTAAACAGTTATAAGGTCAGCAAAAACGCCTGGACTTTTTTTTCAACATATGTTTAGATTGTGTTGTAAAACAATTACGGGGACCAGACAAGTATGTATACACATGGAGAAATGTTGCTAGCTTGCCAAAATTCCTCAACGCATTAAAATCATTGTTTCTCACAACAGATAAATTCTAAAAGTATCTCTTGTCACAGGTGAAAAGTTAGGATGAAGTGATTAAGACATTTTATGGATTATACTATATTAATTTAAATCATATTTTAGCTGAAAATCAGGAATAACACTATTTTTCAGTTGACTTGGGATGGCTGCCTCCATTATCACTCATCAGATTTTCAAGCAAGCACCTTTCATGATTAGGATGCCCTTCTCCAAAACATTTGCAGAACTAATTGGGTCTCCCTACAACTCTTTTTGACCTCTTGCCACAAAACAAGCCATTCCCACAAACGTTACAGGAGTCTGAATTTCTGAGATTTCCAAAACTCATTCAAGGTTACATGGAGCAAAACCAGTGTGCTCAAAACTTACAAAGGAGAGACTGACAGATGGACAGGCAGACCACAACCATGCAGCTCTTTGCTACAAAAATAGCATAAAACCAACTCTGTAAAATCAAGTGGGCCCTTGCCTGTCAACGCTACAGCTGATGATGCTGACCATATTAATACTTCCATTCCTCCCTTTAAATCTACCTCTTGTATCTCACATACTTCTGCATATTAGATTCAAATACTAGAGAGTATCCCATCAACACAAGGATTTTTTTCCAAGACTGGGTTCTTAGCCTTCTCTGTATGCTCATATTTTACATTATTTTTCATCCTCTAATACATCTGACAGCTACCACCAATCAGTCGCATGCAGTCCTCTCTCTCTCTCCACAAACCCAAGGAAAAGGACAAGCAAATACTATCAGAGAACTGGGAAGCGGCAGCTATGACATGTTACTCAGAACTTTGAGCAGCATTCAAGGAGTGGGAAGGGTAACTGTGAAATCTGTTGGCTGAGCTGACAGGACTGAAGGTGAGGAACAGAATCATGCTAAGTCAAGTAAGGAGATCAAGTAGTATGTTCACAATAATGCCAGCAACTTGGAGTGAGCATAGAACAAAATCTCTTACTCTGCATTACACCCACGTGTTCTTTTGCTGTAGAGGAAAGTGTTCTTTCAGACTTCTGCTATCGGAGAAACATCAGTAACAGCCAGAGAAAAGGTAGCAGCTCCACTTTACTTGACCCTTTTCTTCACACTCCACAAATGCCAAATCACAAGCAGATAGTGAGGAGCAGAGGCTCTTAAGACTCTCCCCATGAAGAATTTCTACCCAAGCTCCTTATGGCTGTTTTAGCTTGACTTACGTGACACAAAGGTGAGAGAAGCTGGCCCAAACTCTAGACAGTTTTTATGCTGCTTTCATCAATGCAGGATCTCAGCATTCAAACCCATCTAAATCAGGAGCTGCTGGTGAGACACCCTCATTTGTTGTGAAGCAGCAGGCTAATATAGACAAGCCAAAAACTACAGAGTTAATGGAGCTGCGAGTGACATCCATAGTTTAATGCTGTAAGAACTACACCAGATATCTGGCTTCAAGAAAGAACAACAACAACAACAGAGTTTGTGAAGAAGGCACCAAGTTATGCATTACTATCTAGAAGGTTTTGCCTTTTGAACAAGAATCTGACGTTGACCATTGGGATTTTACATACCCACATTAGTAAGGGAAAAGAGCAGTTTTAGGAGAGAAAGGGCAGCTAACCTAACAGTTTTAATATTCTGTGCACTGCTGTGCACCTGTAGTGCTTCCAACCCTAGTCTTGAAAGCACATTCTTGGAAAGCAATAGGATCTGCCATCTAAGTCTTCTCCCACTGTGCCTGCTGTGTGTGGTTAGGTTGCAGAAGCCTCCATGGTGCTCACACAATTATCGCAGGAGAAATCTCTCGGGTCAATGAATAAAAATACCGTTATGTTTACTATTGCCACTTATCTCCCACTTGCATTAAAAAATGCTGATCCATACACAGAGCTCCATTCAAAAGCGATTTTAATTGATGGAGACCTTCAGACAAACAGCTGTCTGCCCAGTGGTGGAGTTGTTTGACATACCCTCCTTAACAACCATGCAGATTTAAGTTAAATGTTATTGAGTAAGTTTACTCCTCTACATCCCTCATATCCTCAAATGACACATAAGCTTTTTGGCTCTTTTATACATGCCAACAGATCAGCACATTCCCTGAGCGGCTGCATGTCCAACATGATGTGCAGTTTCTAAACACAATGAAGCCTAAGATCAAGTCCCATGTATTTAAAAACAAAACAAAACAGAAAGAACAAGAAAAGAAAGCCACAGATTTCTACATTAAGGATTGTAAAATATTACACGTTTTTGCAATCTCCCCACTTGTGGACATACTTTGAAAACATAAACTAATTGTTGGTTTTGAAAGCTTGTCACTGTAATCCCTCTCATTCTTCCTCTCCAAAAAAGATCATGGTTTATCATAGCTTGCCTAAAGCCATCAACCAAACTATATATAGGCTAGCCTTTCCTAACCATAATATCCACAGACACAGGTTCCTCGGTTTGCCTCAGAGCCAGACCAGTTGAGTACATAGGAAATGGTATTGCCTGGCTCCCAACCCAAGAGCCACAACATTTTTTTCCTGAACAGCCAGCACTAATTCCAGTACCACAGATGTGGGGAAGCAAAGATGGGGGAATTAAAAAAAAGGAGAAAATGGAAGCTGGTGCCAGGATATCCATGCTGGAGAGCAGGAAGCACTAGCAAGAGCATGTAAGCCCTGGTATGTAATTCTAGCTCTGGTTCCCCCTTCTGCGTGCATACTCAAGCCAGAGCCCTTTCAACTGGCTTCACCCTCAGTGGACTTGGTGAACTTTGTTAGGGAACTTGGCTCACTATCATTCAGCCACCAGTATTTACCTTGTTCTCAAAAAGGTACATGCTCCTACAGACCCGACCAAGCCATGGAAGGAAGAGGAGGTCACTGCAGACAGTCCTTGGAAAAATGACCCTGGAAGAAGTAACTCAAGGACTGTTGTCTACAGATCAAAATTCCCCACTCCTCTACCCCCACATTTTTTAACCCTACAGCTGCCCAGAAGAACATATTAACTAGCATGTCAACCCTGTATCTGCTGGGCAAATCACAACAGAGGTACATTACAAAACATACTTTCAGTGTATTGTTGGCTTTCTCCATGGATGAGGATCACCACAGCCGCGTTCACCAGGCAGCTGCACCACCAGGGAGGCCCCACGCAGCTGCTGCTGATGCCACAGGAACATCCAGATCACCGAGCCCCTTTCCACAAAGAGTCCAGTTCAGTTTATGCAGAACAGCACTACTCCCATGAAGGCATACATAGCCCCAGGTGTCACGCAAACCACAACTGAACACCATGACCTAAGC